GTCATGTCCCCTCTAAGCCTTCTCTTTCCCAAGCTAAACATACCCAACTCTTTCAGCCTTTCCTCGTAAGACTTGGACTCCAACCCTCTCACCAACCTGGTTGCCCTCTTCTGGACACGCTTGAGCTTGTCAATATCCTTCCTAAAATGTGGTGCCCAAAAGTGGAGACAGGACTCCAGGTGAGGCTTTACCGTAGCAGAATTGTTAGGTATTACAAGTTGAAAACACTCAGTATATCTGGGGTTAAATGTTTGTTTATGTTACTCACAGGAAGTCACATGTTTCTCATGTAACCAATGTTCTTTATATGTGGATTGCCCGGGAATTTTCTCCCTGATCTAGGGATCTGATTGGGACGAAAGTGTCAAGGTGTATTAGCATTTTATGGCTCTTTTCCCATCTTTGTTTGGTGTTCTCAAGAAGAGTAGCCATAATCTCTCTCTTCTAGTTTTGTCTTTGTAGAGTAAGGATGTAGCCGATTATGCTCTTTTGTTATTTTCATCCCAGTTACCCTTCCCCATGCTAGAATTTAGTAAAAACTTTATATTTTAATCACACATGGACTCTGAGTCTGAATTATTTTACTCTGGCTCTGCTGGACTATCTTATCTCTGCTAAATACCATTTTTTTTCAATATCTCACTATCACCCAACAAGAATAGAGCGGGACTACCACCTCCCATGATCTGGACACAAGGCTTCTGTTAATGCATCCTAAGATTGCATTAGCTGTCTTTGCAGTCACATCGCACTGCAGGCTCATGTTTAGCTTGTGATCAACCAGAACACCCAGATCCCTTTCACATGTGCTGCTGTCAAGCCAAGTCCCCCCCATTCTACATCTGTGCCTTTGATTTTTTTTGTACCTAAGTGTAGGACTTTGCACTTATCTCTATTGAAATTCATTTTATTTGTTTAATTTTCCCAGGGCATGCAAGGTCGATTTATTTAGGTTGGCCTTTGGAGTGTAAGCCATGTTTGGGTTGTTTTTGTTAGTGGTATGGTTAACATTTTAATGTCAATATTTTACATTTGTTATGTTTTTATGTTGTTTTTAAGATATAGTCACCGCAAGACCCTTTGGGTGAGCAGCAATTCAAAATAAATAAATCTGTTTACCTTCCAGGTATGGAGTGGAAGGCCACACCCAGGGCTCCCTACGACAACCCTGTGAGGCAGGTTAGACTGGCCTACGACCCCTCCCAAGTCCTCTTTGGTCCACTGCTTTTTAACTTGTTCATTAATGATTTGGAGTTGAGAGTAAGCAGTGAAGTGGCTAAATTTGCAGATGATACGAAGTTGTTCAGGGTGGTGAAAACCAGTGAGGATTGTGAGGCACTCCACACGGATCTGTCAAGGATGGACAACTGGGCGTCAACATGGCAAATGGGGTTCAATGTGGCCAAGTGCAAGGTGATGCACATTGGAGCAAAAAATCCTAAATATAAATACACATTGATGGGGTCTGAACTGGCAGAGACTGACCAATAGAGAGATCTTGGAGTTGTAGTAGATAACTCAATGAAAATGTCGAGACAGTGTGTGGCTGTGATAAAGAAGGCCAATGCTATGCTGGGGATTATTAGGAAGGGAATTGAACACAAACCAGCCAGTATCATAATGCCCCCGTATAAATTGATGGTGCGACCTCATTTGGAGTACTGTGTACAGTTCTGGTCACCACACCTCAGAAAGGATATTATAGCATCGAGAAAAGTGCAGAAAAGGGCAACTAGAATGATAAAAGGGTTGGAACACTTTCCCTATGAGGAACGGTTAAGGCGCTTGGGGCTCTTTAGCTTGGAGAAATGACAGCTGAGGGGTGACATGATTGAGGTCTATAAGATTATGCATGGGATAGAGCAGGTAGAGAAAGAAGTATTTTCCTCCCTTTCTTACAATACAAGAACTTGTGGGTACTCAGTGAAATGGCTGAGCAGTCAGGTTAGAACAGATAAAAGGAAGCCCTTCTTCACCCAAAGAGTGGTGAACACGTGGAGTTCACTGTCACAGGAGGTGGCAGCGGCTACAAGCATGGATGGCTTCAAGAGGGAATTGGATAAGCATATGGAGCAGAGGTCCATTGGTGGCTATTAGCCACAAGGTACAGATAGGGACTCTCAGTCTGGGGCAGGGGATGCTCTGTATTCTTGGTGCTTGGGGGGGGGGGGTCAACAGTGGGAGGGGCTTCTAGTATCCTGGCCCCACTGCTGGACCTCCCGATGGCACCTGGTATTTCTGGCCACTGTGTGACACAGAAGAGTGTTGGACTGGATGGGGCCACTGGCCTGATCCAACACTGGCTTTTCTCTTATGTTCTTATGGGAGACCACCAAGGAAGTCCAGGGCCTGCTATGCAGAGGCAGGTCACAGCATCCTCTCTTGCCTTGGAGACCTTCCAGGGTTGCAGCCATAAGTCCACTGTGATGGCAGTTTTTCTCCGGCACTTCTCTCCACCCCCAAAGGGCCTGACTGGGGCCACAGCAATGGTGACTATGCCTGCTGCTATTGGCAATCCCATCCCAATCTATGCCAGGAGGCCCCTAGAACAGGTGTGAAACTCATTTATTACAAGGGCCGGGCCACATGTGCCGTGAAATGTAACACAAAGTACTGGAGACATAAACTCTATAAATATGATTTCAGATGCGGAATGGCAGTAGCAGGCATGATTGGATTAGGTGTGATATGCAGAGGAGTAGTAGGCGTGAAGATATCAGCATTTGTAACGAGACAGGAAACCTCGGTCTCAGTTTGGTCCAGGAGGATGCAAAGAATAAGGCTTTCAGTTGAGGCGGTGGACGTTCAGCCATTCTGGCCTCCCCTGTTCGTGGCCCCTTCTCGGTGCTCTGGTGCTTTAGAGAACATTACTTGGGCACTGGAGGCTTTTCGTTCACCTGACACGAGGCATGAGCCCTTTCTATTGTTGTCTGTTGTTTTATCGCTTTTATCATCTTATGAATCTTATGCTGTAAGCTGCCCTGAGCCCACCGTGTAGTTCCAACTACACAGCCGCCAAACTGAAGAAGTTGATGGAAACGTCTCCTTTAAGTATCTGGAACAGGCGTTTTTGCGAAGGCTGTTGTTGAAAAAGTTTTGAAAACATGGATTCCTCCTACTGAGTTGAATGGACTACTTGGACTGCTATCTTTGAAGGAGGAAATATTGTACTCTATGCCTTGTTTAATAGTATGCACTTATTTTGATGTTGTGGCACCACCAACTTTATAATTGTTAAACAGAGGGGAATTTCAGACAGGCGCTTTCTCCCGGTAGGGAACCGATTCTCAACCGGGTGCTGGTCTGTCATTTCAGACAGAACCCGGTTGACAATCGGTTCCCTACCGGGATCTGACTGCCATTTCACACTCAAAAGTCTCTGTTCCGTATAGGAACCGGGAGGGAAGCGATTTACCTGTCAACCGCTTCCGAGGAGTCTCCCGTTCCCTCTCCCGGTTCCGATACGGTTCTTTCCCACCTTTTTTCGGCCACGCGGACTTTTTTAAAAAAAAAAACCGTGGGGAAACAAAGCGGTGCGTGTGTGAAACGCCAAACCGCTTGTGAATCGGCTCCTTTCCGGTAGGGGCAAGCCATGTGTGAAACGGCAGCCCTGTACCGGTTCATCTGGAAATGGAAGACTCCCGGCTTGAAACCGGGAGAAGACAGGTAATGTGAAATTCCCCAGAGTTTTATATATTTTGTCATTTTTGGATGGTGTTTTTTCTAGCGGTTTTTGCTTTTTTTTGGACACTCGTGGGAGGGCGTGGTATAAATAAATAATGGCAATAAGTCTGAAGGAGTGAACAGTGACTTACGAAAGCTCATGCCGTGCCACAAATTTTGTTAGTCACTAAGGTGCAACTGGACTCTTGCTCCCTTACACTAGTAAAGAATGCAAGCTGTGCTGTTCAGTTTCTCCCCCTCCCCACCTAGTAGAACTAGAAAGGGGAATCTCTCCAAGTGCCATGGGACTTCATCTCTCTCTCTCTCTCTCTATGGCGTGCTGTTGGGTATTACAAGTTGAAAACACTCAGTATATCTGGGGTTAAATGTTTATGTTACTCACAGGAACTCACATGTTTCTCATGTAACCAATGTTCTTTAGCTGTAGAAAACCCGGGAATTTTCTCTCTGATCTAGGAATTTAATTGGGACTAAAGTGTCAAGGTGTATTAGCATTTTATGGCTTCTCTTCCCGTCTCTGTTTGGTGTTCTGAAGAAGAAGAAGAGCAGCCATAATCTCTCTCTTCTAGTTTTGTCTTTGTAGAGTAAGGATGTAGCCAATTATGCTCTGTTATTTTCATCCCAGTTACCCTTCCCATGCTAGAATTTAGTAAAAACTTTATATTTTAATCACACATGGACTCTGAGTCGGAATTATTTTACTCCGGCACTGCTGGACCATCTTATCTCTGCTAAATACCATTTTTTCAATATCTCACTATCACCCCAACACGTGCTCTCTCTGGCTCCCCACCACCACCAAAGAAATATGCAGGCACACAAAAGTTTATACTTGGAATACAACGTTGTTGGTCTTCTTAAAAGTGCCATGGGACTCTGTTTTTCTCTCTCTCTCTTTCCTTCCCTCTCCCTCACCAGAGGAGGAGGAGGAGCCCTCAGCCAATCAAGGGAAGGGAGGCTTGGCTTTCTCTCTCTCCTCTGTGAAAGCAGGAAGTAGGAGAGACTGGGCAAAAGAGCTGTGATACAGGAAGCAGGAAACAGCAGAGAGCCAGTTGCTCTTGGGCCGGACAGCAGCCCTGCAAGGGGTGGTGGTGGATCCGGCCCGCAGGCTGTATGTTTGACAACCATGCCCTAGAGTCTTGTCTGCCCCATAGGAGGCTGGAACTTTAGCCTGCTCCTCCCATTTTTCTCGGGGGGGGGGCAGCAGTCCAGCTCCTCGGCAGCTGAACACCCAGCGCTTGTGGTAGAGAGAAAGGCAAACAAGCCCCAGAGAAGAGCAGCGGGAAAGGAGGACGTCAAAGAGGGAAGAGCACACACTTTATTGGAAACTTCTGGAGTCCCCGCTCTCTTAATTTAAAGTGGATCTGTAGAAATTCAAGACACCAGCCCCGTTGGGAGAACCTCCAAGGCAAGAGGACTGTGGAGAGGAGGCAGACGGAAACGGCAGCAAGGAGGAGCGGCAGCTCTCCTCCCCCAGGCCAGGAAGATATTCAGCACCCCACCCCCCTAGACATCTGCTGGAAGGCCGAGGAGGATTGTTCTGGGGGTCCTCAGCCCTCCACGCTCCCTTGGGGGCTCCGACGCCTTGAGCCTTCTCCTGTCCGACAAGTGCGCGTGAAGCGTTCTCCGCAGGAAGATCCTCCCATCCTGCCATGAAGGCCCCCCCCCCGGGCAATTCTGGTTCATGGGGTGGGGCTTCCCTGGAAGCGTCTCAAGTAGGCGGAGTCAGTGAGGGCAGAACTGGTGCTGGTGCAGAGCTTCTGGGGCCTGGAGTACTTCCAGAAGGTGGCGCGGAGAGGGGAGCCGGAGCTCTGTGTGGCGGCCCGGGCCATAGACGTATACACGGCAGACAGTTCTGACGCACTGCAATGGAGGGGGGGGGGAGGAAGAGAAATGAGGGCTGATTGGAGGGTTCGAGTCCAGGAAGGGGCGAGGCTGAGTTGGTGACAATGATCTGGGCTGTGCCACCAGAGGCCTACTAGGCCCAGGGAGCCTGGCTAGCAGTAGGTGAGGCTGGGCCTACAACTCCCAGAAGCCTCTGAGAGGTTTTGGAGCCAAAATTGACCAATAGGAAAAGAGGAGGGCTTGGAATAAAAGATCGGGAGCAGCAGGAAAAGCTGTTCTTCTTCCCAGAGGGCAGAGCCAGAAGGAAGGCTGCTGCAGGGGAGAGACCCTCATCCTGGGGGAAGGGTGAGTAGTCTAGTGCCACTTGGGATAGTGAGTTAGGGACAGTATATATTTAGATGCATTAGGGCATTTGATTTCTTTTCTTTTCAACCACTTACTGTTATTATTCTGCACCTTGTTTGTTTGACCTCCTATACAATAAACTATTTTCATTGTTCTCTCTGCCTATAAAATGCCTATAAATTGGCCAAAAGGTCTTGGGAGGGTGCTCTGGGCCTTCTCAAGGGATCCTAAATCCAGAGTGGTGGCAGCATCAGGTGACACCCCACCTAAGCCGTGACAGCTGGTCTCCAGCCTCGGAAAGGCCTTTGAGAGCCAGTTTGGTGTAGTGGTTAAGTGTGCGGACTCTAATCTGGAAGAACCAGGTTTGATTCCCCACTCCTCCACTTGCAGCTGCTGGATGACCTTGGGCAAGCTGTAGTTCTGACAAGAGCTGTCATCAGAAGATAAGAGAAGCCAATGGCCCATCTAGTCCAACACTCTGTGTCACACAATGGCCAAAAACACCAGGGGCTATCAGGAGGTCCAGCAGTGGGGCCAGGACACTAGAAGCCCTCCCACTGTCGTCCCCCCCAAGCACCAAGAATACAGAGCATCACCTGCCCCAGCCTGAGAGTTCCTGTCTATACCTTGTGGCTAATAGCCACCAATGGACCTCTACTCCATATGCTTATCTAATTCCCTCTTGAAGCCGTCCATGCTTGTAGCTGCCACCACCTCCTGTGGCAGAGAATTCCATGTGTTCATCACTCTTTGGGTGAAGAAGGACTTCCTTTTATCCGTTCTAACCCGACCGCTCAGCCATTTCATGGCGTGCCCACGAGTTCTGGAAGGGCAGTTTCTGGAAAGAGCTCTCTCAGCCCCACCTGCCTCACAGGGGGTGTCTGTTGTGGGGAGGGGAAGGAGTTTGTAAGCCGCTCTGAGACTCCAAGTGAAGGGTGGGGTATAAATCCAGTCTCCTCCCCCCCCCCCTCCTTTGTGGCAAGACGGTGTCTCAGGGAAGGTTTGCCTTCAAGAACTGCTTTACAGGGTGAGGCAGAAATAACTTTCGTGCTGTTTCTCTATAAGGCCTGCAGAGGGCTAGCATGGGAGCCAGTTGTTAGCAGTGGCCTGGAGGGCAGCTCTGTGGAAGCACCGCTCTCTTCTGGGTGGGTGTGGAGAAAAGAAGAGAAGAGATTGGGTTTCCACCCATGGCCCTTCACTACCCAAGGGAGTCTCAGAGCGGCTGACAAAATCCTTCCCCTTCCCCTCCCCACAACAGACACCCTGTGAGGCAGGTGGGGCTGAGAGAACTCTCTCAAGAACTGCCCTTGAGAGAACAGCTCTGAGAGAACTACGGCTCGCCCAAAGTCATTCAGCAGGTGCAAGCGGAGGAGGAGGCGTCCACACACTTAACCTCTCTCTACAGCCCCACTTCGGCATCAAGGGCTCCACCACCAGTGCCAAGGCTTACCTGTACATGTGGAGTTTGGGGGGATCCCCCTGGAGCGACCGTGAGCCCCCCTCACCCAGGACCCGCTGCGCCAGGCATAGGGCAGCGACGGCCAGCAGAGCCGGCTCAACACCCACAGCGTCTGCCTCCATCAGGGAAAGCTCCATGAAGTACATGGCCATGTGCCGGACCTGAGGGAGGAGTAAAGGGGGCAGAGCTCACCCGGTGGGAAAGAGAACCAGGCAGTCGGGCTGTGCAGCAGGAAGTGTCCCACCCCCTCCCCAGCTGGACTCCTGCATGGGGCACATCCTCAGATAACCAAAACAACAAGAAAGCAAGCTGTGATAAAGCACTACACACTCCGAATGGAATAATTATAACCAGGGGTCATTTAGTAGAAAATGAGGTGCAGGAGCTCATTAGCACAACTCATTAGCATAACTTATGTGCATATGCCACACCCCCTGACATCACTGGAAGTGTGTCAGAAGGCAACACCCACCACTCAGGCTCCACTGGACTGTTTTGGATTGCTAGCTATTGGGTGGTGGTGGTGGGGAACGTGCCGATCTGCCCTCGCAGAGGAGGGAGAGCTTGTACCTGAATAAAACTTGGTCTTAAAGGTGCCACTGGACTGCTTTGGATTGCTAGCTATTGGGGGGGGGAACATGCAGATCTGCCCTCACAGAGGAGGGAGAGCTTGTACCTGAATAAAACCTGGTCTTAAAGGTGCCACTGGACTGTTTTGGACCGGGGGGACGGGGGGGGGGAGAGCTCTGCAACTTACCTGGCTGCTTCTTGCTCTGACTGAGGGCTGCTGGGAGCAGGGGGTGGGGCTTCTTGTATGTGCCTGCCCCCCGGACTCTTTACTGCCGGAGCTCCGCTCCTGTGTGCTCCTGCAGGAAATGACCCCTGATTATAACAATAATTCTTGCATCCATATAAATGTAAACAAAGTGCAAAAGAGGTCCATATACAGTTGTGATGATTGTTGATGAAGTTTTCCGGAGTATCGATTCGTTTCGTGAAGATTTCATCCGAACGAGGACCATAAATTACAATGGTGTGTCTTCTATATTTTATCTTTTTTTAAAATCCCCGGAGGGATATTTTTTATTTTGCAAATACTACAAAAACTACAAAGAAATATTAGGGAAGGGACTACAACTAAGGATAAAGGAAAGCAAACCACACTAAACTAAAACCTCAAGAGGAGGAGATCTTTTCACTGTTAGTAAAATTGTTAGTACTATAAGTGTTAGTATCACAATATACTTGTAGAGTTCTTGCTTATAACGATTCACTATTTATATGTTACTTTATTAGCTGTTATGAGAGACATCTCTGATCATCTTCTTATTCTTCGCTTCAAAAGGCCATTTTCCAAGTCCTTCTGCCTTTACTTCGGCTTTCTGTCCCTGAAATCGTATACCACTCTGGGAGGTCCTGCACCCTTTTCTGCCGCAGAATCCTCTTCCGTTCCTGAGGTAGCAGAGTCACTAGACTTCGTTTCTTCCTCTTTGGACTCTTCCTCTGTCCCCAGCTGACGTCTCAAAAATTCTTTAGCTTTAAAAGTGGAGTATCTTCTCTCTTCTATCGTTGATCTTAAAGATGACACCCTCCGGAACCGCCCATCTGTACGATATCCCATTAGTTTGAAGGAAAGAAATTAAGTCCTTGTAGTTTTTTCTCTTTTGTCTAATTTCAAATGGAATGTCCTTTAAGGTTTTGATGGTTACATTTCCATTTTCAGTGGAGTTGCTGATGTTGCTTTTAAAATGGCATCTCTGGTTTGTCTTCTTGAAAACCTGACCACTATTTCTCCAGGTAGGCT